AAGAGGCATGGCAGAGAATAGTGTTAAGCAGGGCTCGGCTGATGTGAGGGAGGGGTCTCAGATAGGCATTTTCACAGATGGGTAAACTTGGGCTCAAGGAGGTGAGGTGGCTGCCCCAGGTCACCCAGCAACTGCAGCTGCGGTTGAAAGCCACTTTTGTCTGGTTCCCCCTCTGCTCACTGAGACAGAGTGGGAATATGAGCAGGAGAGGCTGCCTGGGTTCCAACCTCACACTCCCTGCCTCTCAGTTCCGCAGGGCCTGCAGATGACAGTGACTATGGAGCCATGCCCCGAAGAGCAATACTGGGATTCTCTGCTGAACACCTGCCTCTCCTGCAAATTCATCTGCAGCCATCAGATTCCACGAACCTGTGCAACCTTCTGCAGTGAGTTCTGGGGCCTGAGCCCAGGTCATGACTGGATCAACCCCCTGCTTTCCTCCCAGAGGTCCCTCTGGCCCCACTGCACTTGGGTGCCTGAGGAGGGGGTGGTAGAAGGAGAAGTACAATGTGATACCCCTTCACCCCTTGATCTTTCTGCCCTGGGCCACACTGGCCTCCTTGAAGTTTCTTGAATATGTTGTATTCTTTCCTGCCTCGGGGCCTTTGCACTTGTGCCCTCTGGATAGAAAGCACTTCCTCACTCTTCTTCCCTTGGCTCCCTCCTACCCAACCTTAAGGTCTCAGCCCAAATGTCAGATGTCTTCTTTAACTGCCCAGTAGAAATTAGGCCCTCTGTTGTCCTCAGTTCTTACTTTCTTTTAAAACTTTTTATCATATAAATTATTAAACATAGAGAGGATAGAATAAACCCTTGCCTACCCAACATTGGCTTTAAAATTCTGCCTTTTTTTCCTCAACCTGTTTTTTTTCTTGTGTATTTTAAAGCAAATCCAAGAACTCATATCACTTTACCTATCAATACTAGATCATGAATACCTAACACATAAGGGCCTTTAAAATAAAACCTCACTATCTTATCACCCCCCCAGCCATAATCCCTTAACATCATCTGTACTCAGGCCATATCCAATTTTCTCTGATTGTCCTGAAATATACATTTTGATTGCTGTTCTTTTTCATAATTTGTTCTTTTCCTTAATGGAACTTATCACAATTTGTGTTATGTTCTTTTTTTTTTTTAGCTGAGCCATCCTGCCACCTGTTGTCAGTTCAGCGACAGCTCAGCTCGAGTGCAGCTCACTGACCCATATGAGCATCAAACCGGTGACCCTGTTGCTCAGTGCTCGTGCTCTTAACCAACTGAGCCACTAGGCCGGCCCCTCTTTTAGAACTTTAAATATATCATCCCATTGCTATCTGGCCTCCATGGTTTCTGATGAGAAATCAGCTGTTAATTTTATTGAGGATCCCTTGTATATGGCAAGTTGCTGCTTTCATAATATCTTTTTCTTTGGGTTTTGACAATTTTATTACCGTGTGTCTCAGTGTGGGTCTCTGAATTTATCCTACTTGGAGGTTATTGAGATGCTTGAAATTGTATATTCATGACTTTCCTAAGATTTCAGCCATTATTTCTTCTTATTATTAATTTTTGCCCCTCTCTCTCATCTCATTCTGAAACTCCTCTAAGCATATAGTGGTATGTTTGATGGGGTCCCACAAGTCCCTCAAGTTCTGTTCATTTTCCTATTCTTTTTTGTTTCTGCTTCTTGACTAAATAATTTCAATTGTCTTATCTTTAGGTCCAATAATTCTTTCTTCTGCCTGCTCATATCTGCTCTTCAGCCCCTTCAGAGAGTTTTTGCATTTCAGTTATTGGGCTTTTAATTCCAGAATTTCTGTCTGTTTTCCTTTTTAAGACACTTTTTTTAGAGCAGTTTGGGTTCACAAAAAGTTGAGTGGAAAGTACAGAGATTCCCATATACTCCCCTACCCTCTCACATGCACAGCCTCCCTCATTATCAACGTCCTGCACCTTGTGGTATATTTGTTACAATTGATGAACCTACATTAATACATCATTATCACCCAAAGTCCATAGTTCACATTAAGGTTCAGTCTTGGTGCTGTACATTCTATGGAATATGACAAGTGTATAATGATATTTATCCATCATGATAGTATCATAAGAATTGCTTCACTGACCTATAAAGTCCCCTGTGCTCTGCCTTTGTCTCTCCTTCCCCTCAAACCCTGACAACGACTGATCTTTCTACTGTTTCTTAGTTTTGCCTTTTCCAGAATATCATATATCTAGAATCATACAGTAGCCTTTTCAGCTTGGCTTCTTTCAGTTAATTATATACATTTAAGACTCTTCCATGTCTTTTCATAGCTTTATAACTCATTTCTTTTTAGTCTGAATAAATTCCATTGTTTGGATTTACCACAGTTTGTTTATCCATTCATCTACTGAAAGAAACTTTGGTTGCTTACAAGTTTTGGTTCCTTTCATGCAACTTCTATCTCTTAATTCATATTCTCATTTTGTTCATACATTATTTTCCTGATTTCCTTTAGTTCTTTGTCCGGTTTTGTTTTTTTTTTTAGCTCATAGAACATATTTAACACAGTTGATATAACCTCTTTGACTAATATTTCCAACATCTAGGCTTCCTTGGGGATAGTTTTCCTGTGAATGTGCCGTGTTTTTCAGTTTCTTTGTCTNCAGCTCACGGCTGCTCAGCTCGGGCTGACTCGAACCACTGTTGCTCAGAGCTCAAACTCTTGAGCGAGCTCTTAACCAACTGAGCCACTCAGCCGGCCCGTATTATGTTCTTTTGTGTTTTTTTGTTTCGTGTGTGTCTCAACCACCAGATTGTGAGATCCTTTCCTTATCTGAGCTTAGCACAGTGCCTATCACATATTAAGTGCTTCATAAATACTGGTCAAGTAGAGCTCAGAGAGGCTGAGTGACTGGCCCAAGATCACACAGCATAATAGTGGAAAAGTTAGGAACCAGAGCTCTCTGATTACAAAACCATGACATTCATTGTGTCATTCCACAAGTATTCATGGAACTTTCTAGCCCCTTGAAAATGAGAATCTCACATGATCCTTAAGGGAATTATCATCTAATGGGAGATTTCTCTACATTTCAAATTAGAAAGGTAAAGTACCATAAAATGCCACAATTGGGAAAGACCACCTCCAGCTGATGGGTTGGAGAGTAGGGAAGTGTTCTGGGAAGAAGTGCCCCCTGAAATGAAACGTTAAGAGTTAGATGTGGAAGTCAGCTGAGGAGGATGAGCACTCCTAGAAAAGGGACCAGTGAGATCAAAGGCAAGGATGGGAGAACACAGCAAGGAAGGTCAGGGCCCAGAAGTAGGTTTGTGAGGCCAGGCAGTGAGGGTCGGTGGTCTGGGGAGGTCAGGAACCAGCTGCGACAGCCACACTAAGGTCCCTGAGGAGGGGAGGAGGTCACAGAAAACCCCAGGAACACCACTGCCATCAGGTTAACTCTGCCTTATGAGTGGCAGTACAGAGGTCCTGTGCGGCTCAGTGGAACCCCGGGGCCAGGGCAGGGCCAGGACAGGAGGACATCACTGGTTTTATAAGGGCCATCTGAGTCTTCCCTAAGGCCTCAGTTCCATCATCTTTCTGATCTTTTCCTTTACTCTGTCAAGTACATAAGGATTGGTGTGCTGGTGTTGCAAAGAGGCACAAATGAATATCCTATTTAAACCTTCCATTAACTGATCATTTAGTGCCAGGCACTGTGCTGGGAACTTCCAATTTTCAAAACAACCTTAAGAAGTAAATATTATTCTTATCCCTCCCTTGGAAATGAGGAAACCAAGACACAGAGAGGTTAAGACCCCACAACCTGTAAGTAGTAGAGCTAGGGATGCCCCAACCCCATTTGGCTTTGAAGTCTGTATTGTTAACCTCTGTCTTGCACTGCCTCTGAAATGTGCCCTTAGAATATCCTGTGTGAGTCACATTTTCATATAAATCAAATCTTATTTTAAAGACAAGAGAAGTTGCCCTGTACAAGTATAGATTTCTGTTATGCGCTCAAAGTTGTTCTTAAGGCAAGTGTGATTAGACTTTATTTTGCTTGGCTTCTGCTCCTTGGCACTGATACCTGCTTAAGCTCTTGTAATTCTCATTTATTATTAAGACAGGATATACACTAATATTTTGAATTTCTCTACCTTTTTTACAGCCTCCTCCCCCAACTTGCCAAGGCAGTTTCTGGCTTTCCCCTCCAATCCTTATGTTGACATGAAATATGTGTCTTCTTCAAGAGGCTTGAAAAATGCAAGCAAATAACTTGAGTGACAATGTAATCACCTAGATATCAATTTTACAAGATAACAAGAAAATACTTATATGTATAAAAACTAAAGAATGTACTTTTAAATAATCTATAGGTCGAGGAAGAAATAATGAAAAGTAAAAACATTTTAAACTAGATATAGGAAAAAACTACATATTAAAATGTGTGATGTGGCTAAAACAGCACTTAGTGGACCATGTATATAGCCTTGCCATTGCATACTGGAAAAAGATTTGGATTACCCTGGAATTGCTTTGATTGATTTTTTTTAACTTTGATGCCCTTTTGAGGCCAGACACACCACTCCTATAAGTCTCTGTCACCTGGTATCATCCATCATTTCTGTCTCCCAGAGTCGCTCAGTTGCCGCAAGGAGCAAGGCAGGTACTATGACCAGCTCCTGAGGGACTGCATCAGCTGCGCCTCCATCTGTGGACGTCACCCCAAGCAATGCACATACTTCTGTGAGAACAAGTTCAGGAGCCAAGTGAATCTCCAACCAGAGCTTAGAAGACAACAGACAGAAACCAGGTCAGACATCTTGGGAAGGTACCAAGGATCAGAGCACAGAGGCTCGGAGACAGGTCCAGGTAAGCCACCTGTGTGGTTTCTGAGTGAGTAGAAGACCAGGCACCAGGACTAAATAAGGAGTGTCTGCAAAGAGGGAAGTCCAGGGTCCAGGCAAATAGCCAGAAGAGTTAGGGAGTTCATCACAGGATCGAAAAATATTTGGGCAAAATATCCCAAAGCCTGTGGGCAAAAAGAAAGCAGGAGAAGAAAAGACTTGATCATTGAGAGGCTTTTTATAAATTATTTTTTCAATTACAGTTGACATACATTATATTAGTTTCAGGTGTACAACATAGTGATTAGACATTTATATAGCTTATGAAGTGATCTCCCCAATAAGTCTGACACCACACATAGTTATTACAATATTATTGATATTCCTTGTGCTGTACTTTACCTCCCCATGACTGTTTTTATAACTGGTAATTTGCACATCTTAATACCTTTTTCATTCATCTCCCCAACCCCCCTCCCTTCTGGTAACCATCAAAATGTTTTTTGTATTTATGATTTTGTTTCTGTTTTGTCTGTTCATTTATTTTGTTTTTTAGATTCCACATAGAAGTGAAATCATATACTTTTTGTTTTTCTCTGTGTGACTTACTTCACTTAGCATAATACCCTCTAGGTCCATCCATGTTGTCTCAAATGGCAAGATTTCATTCATTTTATGGCTAAGTAATATTCCATTGTATATATGTACCATATCTTCTTTATCCGTTCATTTATCAATGGACACTTAGGTATCTTCCATATCTTAGCTATTGTAAATAATGCTGCAGTGAACACAGGGTACATATATAATTTCAAATTAGAGTTTTGGATGTCTTCAGATAAATATCCAGAAGTGGAATTGCTGAGTCATATGATAGTTCTATTTTTAGTTTTTTTGAGGAATATCCATGCTGTTTTCCATAGTGGCTGAACCAATTTACAATCTCATAAACAGTTTACAGGGTTCCCTTTCTCCACATCTTCACAAACACTTACTTGTTGATTTATTGATGATAGCCATTCTGACAGGTGTGAGATGATACCTCATTGTGATTTTGATCTAGTATATTTCCCTGATGATTAATGCTATTGAGCATCTTTTCATATGTGTACAAGTACTTGCCATCTCTATGCCTCTTTGCAGAAATGTGTACTCAGGTCCTCTGCCCATTTTTTAATTTGATAGTTTTCTTTGGTGTTAAATTGTGTAAGTTTCTTATATATTTTGGATATCAATCCCTTATCAGATGTATCATTGGTGAATATCTTCTTCCATTCAGTAGGTTGATTTTTCAGTTTGTTGATGGTTTCCTTTGCTGTGCAAAAACTTTTTAGTTTGATGTAGTCCCATATGTATATTTTTGCTTCTGTTTCCCTTACTCAATGAGACATATCTGAAAAAATATTACTAAGAGCAGTGTCAAAGAGTATACCGCCTGTGGTTTCTTCTAGGAGTTTTATGATTTCAGGTCTTACATTTAAGTCTTTAATCATTTTGAGTTTATTCATGTATATGATGTAAGAAAGTGATCCAGTTTCATTCTTTTGTATGTATCTGTCCAGTTTTTCCAACACCATTTATTGAAGAGACTGTCTTTATTCCACTGCATGTTCTTGCCTCTTTTGTCATAGATTAAATGACCATATAGCCATGGGTTTATTTTTGGGCTCTCCATTCTGTTCCATTGATCTGTGTGTCTGTTTTTATGACAGTACCATGCTGTTTAGATTACTATAACATTGTATACTTTGATATCAAGTAGCGTAATACCTTCAACTTTGTTCTTGTTTCTTAAGATTTCTTTGGCTCTTCAGGGTCTTTTGTGATTCCATATAAATTTTAGGGCTATTCTAGTTCTGTGAAAAATGTCATTGGTTTTTTGATAGGGGTTACATTGAATATGTAGATTGCTTTGGGTAGTATGGACATTTTAACTATATTAATTCTTCCTATTCAAGAGTATGCTATATCCTTCCATTTATTTGTATCTTCTTCAATTTCTTTTTTCAATGTCTTATAGTTTTCCAAGTACAGGTCTTTTACTAACTTGGTTAAATTTATTCCTAGGTATATTTTATTCTTTTTGATGTAATTGTAAATGGGATTGTTTTCTTAATTTCTCTGATAGTTTGTTATTAGTGTATAAAAATGCAGCCAATTTCTGAATATTGATTATGTATCCTGATACTTTACTAAATTCATTTTTTAGTTCTAATAGTTTCCTGGTGAAATCTTTATGATTATCTATATATAGTATAATGTGGTCTACAAATGACAGTTTTACTTCTTTCTTTCCAATTTGGGTTCCTTTTATTTCTTTATCTTGTTTGCCTGCTGTGGCTAGTACTTGCAATACTATGTTGAATAAGAGTGTGAAAGTGGACATTCTTCTCTTGTTTCTGATCTTAAGGAAATCCTTTTAGCTTTTCACCTTTGAGTATGATGCTAGCTGTGTGTTTGTTATATATCGCCTTTATTATATTAAGATATGTTTTCTGTATCTCCACTTTGCTGAGAGTTTTTATTATAAATGGATGTTGGATTTTGTCAAATGCTTTTCCTGCATCTATTGATATGATCATATGATTTTTATCCTTCACTTTGTTTGTTGTATCACATTGATCGATTTATGGATATTGAACCAACGTTGCATCTCAGAAATAAATCCCACTTGATCATGATGTATGACATTTTAATGTATTGCTGAATTTGGTTTGCGATATTTTGTTGAGGGCTTTTACATCTATGTTCATCAAGGATATTGAGCTATACTTTTGTGTGTGTGTGGTGATTTCTTTGTCTGATTTTGGAATCAGTGTAAAGCTGGCCTTGTAAAATGAATTTAAGAGCCTTCTCTCTTCTTCAATTTTTTGGAATAGTTTGAGAAGGATAGGTATTAATTCTTCTTTGAATTGGTAAAATTACCTGTGAAGCTGTCTGGTCCAGGGCTTCTGTTTGTTGGGAGTTTTTTTATTACTGATTCAATTTTGTTAGTAATTATTGGTCTGTTCAGATTACATGTTTCTTCCTGAACAGCCTTGGAAAATTGTATGTTTCTAGGAATTTATCCATTTCTTCCAGAGTGTCCAGTTTGTTGGCATATTATTGGTCAAAGTAATCTTTTTTATTTCTATGGTGCTGGTTGTCACTTCTCTTTCATTTCTGATTTTATTTGAGCCCTCATTTTTTTTTTCTTGATGAATCTGGCTAATGGTTTATCAATGTTATCTTTTCAAAGAACCATCTCTTGGTTTCACTGATCTTTTCTATTGTCATTTTAGACTTTATTTCATTTATTTCCTCTCTGATCTGCATTATTTCCTTCCTTCTACTCACTTTTGGCCTTGTTTGTTCTTTTTTTTCTAGTTCCTTTAGGTGTAAGATTAGATTGTTTATTTTAGGTTTTCTTGTTTCTTGAGTTAGGCCTGTATTACTATGAATTTCCCTCTTAGAATATCCCATAGGCTTTTGGGATGTTGTGTTTTCACTTACATTTGTCTCAAGTCATCGTTTGATTTCTTCCTTGACCTCATTGTTAAGCCATTCATTGTATAATGGCATGTTATTTAGCCTCCATGTGTTCGGGGTGTTCTTTTTTTTTCTTCTTGTAATTCATTTTTAGTTTCATGCCATTGTGGTCAAAGAAGATACTTGATATGATTTCAGTCTTCTTAAATTTATTAAGGTTTATTTTTTGGCCTAACATGTGGCCTATCCTGGAAAATGTTCCATGTACATGTGAAAAGAATGTATATTCTGCTGCTTTGAGGTGAAGTGTTCTAAAAATATCAATTAAGTACATCTGCTCTAACGTGTCATTTAAGGCCCCTGTTTCCTTGTTGATTTTCTGTCTGGATGATCTCTCCATTGATGTCAGTGGGATATTGAAGTCCTCTACTATTGCTTCATTACTGTCAATCTCTCCCTTTATGTCCATCAATATTAGCTTTATATATTTAGGTGTTCCTAAGTTGGGTGTATAGATGTTTGTAAGAGTTATATTGTCTCTTTGGATTGAAGCCTTTATCATTATGAAATGCCCTTCTTTGTCTCTTATTACAGCCTTTGTTTTAAAGCCTATTTTGTCTGATAAAATTATTGTTACCCCAGCTTTCTTTTCATTTTCCTTTTCATGAAAAAATCTTTTTCTATCCCTTTACTTTCAACCTGTGTGTCTCTTTTGATCTGAGGTGGGTCTCTTTTAGACAGCATATCTACAGGTCTTGTATTTTTTACCAACTCAGCCACCCTATGTCTTTTGATTGGAGTGTTTAGTCCATTTACAGTTAAAGAAATTATTGACAAGTATGTAGTTATTGCCATTTTATTGTTTTCTGATTTTTATAGTTCTTATTTATTCCTTTCTTATTCTTTTGCTCTTGTCTCTTGTATGTTGCTGACTTTCTATAGTGTTATGTTTGGATGTCTTTCTTTTTATTTCTTGTATATGTCTTGTAGATTTTTGGTTTGTGGTTACCATTTGCTTCATGGTAGGTTTTCACCAGTCTATTTTAAGGTGATCATCACTTAAGTTCAAACACATTCTAAAATCACTACAACTGTTACTCAGCCCCTCCATGTATATGTTTTGGTCATTATTTTTACATTGTTTTTCATGTGTGTGTTTGTGCGTATCCCTTAATTTATTGTTGTAATTACATATGATCTTCCTACTTTTATCTTTCATTCTTTGTACTAGCTTTATAGTTGGTTGATCCACTGCTTTTACTAAGTGTTTCCCTTTGTCAATGAGAATTTTTCTTTCCTATGTTTTCTTATTCATATTTTTGATCTGTTGTTTTTTTCCTAAAGAAGTCCCATTATCATTTCTTATAATACTGGTTAAGTGGTAATGAACTCCTTTAGTTTTTTCTTGTCTGGGAAACTCTTTATCTCTCTTTTGAGTCTAAATGATAGCCTTGTTGGGTACAGTAATCTTGGTTGTATGTCTTTGTCTTTTGTCACTTTGAATATTTCCTAACAATCCCCTCTGCCTGCAAAGCTTCTGTTGAGAAATCAGCTGAT